CTGGAGCGGCAGAGACCCTCGCCCTGAGGGGTGGAGCAGGAGAGTTCAAGACAGCACTGGGGATGTCAGTGGTGTGAAGGGGTTGAGAGTGAAAGAGAATACCTTGACGTCGTTTGGGTCACGGGGGCAAAGGCCGTTGTAGGTTATTCCATTGCATTTCGAGGTTTTGGCGCATTTTCCGGTGCCTTCAGGAGCTTTGCAGGAGGAACCGATGGCCCGAGATATGAGGTTGTAGTCGGCCTCGGCGGTTGGGTGGGCAAGAACAGTGCTAGCAAGGAGGAAGGAGGTGGTGAGGAAGGAAGTGAACTTCATTGCGGCAGGTATCTATTAAACGAAAATAGGATGAAAGAGTGGGATTGAAGCTTTGAACTGTATTGCAGTTTTGGGACTGATGCTGCAACACCTTGGGACGGAGATGTTGTGGTCTTTTATATTTCATTTCTAACTGGATTATTATTTTCGTAGGGAGGGCGGTGAAACTGTGCAACTGTCGTGAATCCAATCTTGGAGCTCAAGGATCATTCGTTTACTTCGTATATCGGACTGGCCGTGGTGGGCTGGATCCGGAAGCATGACGATTCTTGGCAATGTTAGACAAGGCAATAGTGAGAGTGCCCAGCTCGAGCATAGCCTCAGCAGAAATGACGTTCCACAATGTGAGCTTAGATGATTGGAGTGTAAGTGACCTCAATTGTGTCACCTTGGTCGGCAAAGCAATACTGTGGTTCCTGGAGTCTAGAGTAAGGGTTTATGCTTAAGTGACTATCGATTCCGTGTATCGAGTTTGGGCTGAATACATGTAGTCTTAGCTTCTTCCAATACTTGTAGTTCTCTGATGGGATTGACTGAGCGTTTACATATCATCTCCCGGCAATACCGACTGGAAATCAGCATTTACACGAGAGAAACCATGGCGGCGTTTATGTGAGTAACCGAGAAAGCCTGTTGGCTTGGACTGAAGATCTTTAAGCGAATGTATTTTCAGTCAGGACTGTTCTCGACAGGGTAGTGGAAATATAAATCAATACATATAGAACTCTGATGCCTGCACTTCCGCAAGGCTTGGAGGTCCGCTAGGACTCGTGAGCTCGGATTTTTTTATCGTGAATACAAAGCTCAACCTTGTAGTAGCTTAGAAATTTGCCATCCGTTTATAATTATTCACTTTGCAAGACTTTGGTAAGGCAGCTGCGCAGCTGAGCGAGCCCTTACGAGACTGTACTGTTAAGATTTCTTCAGCAGGCACGCTTTGTGCTTTGCTGCACCTACCATACTGCTGTTACACAGTCGCTCTCCCCGCGTACAACTTGACGGTAATGCTGTGTAACGGCGCCCTTTCGACTCCTGAAATTTTGAGCGTACTGCATCTCCTATATGTATGTCAGTCCCATAGTATGTACAGCCGCATTCTAGGCAACGTTATTCTCGTTTCCTTGGTACAGCACTTCGCTTTTGCATATATTCTAGCTTTTGTTTATGATAACCCTCTAGCTAGGGGATCCGGATCCGCACGTCAGCGTCGACCGCATTATGTAGCGTAACTCTTACAAAAATTGTTGAACCAAAAAAAGGGCATATATTAGGAGAAGAGCAGGGTATTTGAATGTATTCACATCGTTGTGGCTTGCACTCTGGAGAGGGTGGTGGTGTTGCGTTGGGATAAATGTTTTTACTGATAACTTGAATCAAATGATCAATGAGTAGTCATGCTAGCTTAATGACTCCTTATTCCTGTTGATGTGGCGACGATAAGTACTTATTCCTTGCATCACTCCCCCGATAGTATCACAAGTGCGCAGATCAGGGTGAAAAAAGCATAAATCAACCATAGGCCCTGTAAATCAATGACATCCAACTTATTTCCAGTATATGAGATGGTTAACCGGTTATCGATATCCTACACATTCCCAAAACTGGAAAACGATAGGGCATCCTACATAAAATTCGGTCATGATCAAGTCGAGTTACGCTACAAAATAAAATCGCGCATGAGCATAGTGCTAAAAAACTAGTAAGCGAGTTCAAAATCTGCAATAGGTGTTATAAATATCCATCTCTCCAGGCTTGAGCTCTACCAATCGATGTAATAAACTTCAAAGTCACAGGCTCGAAATTTGAGAATATCATCTTTTACATGCACTCACGATTGTCTTATGCAGTCTGCTGTGCTTGCGTTTGTCAGGTTTTTGGGCGGGTATGTAGATCTCCCATAAAAAGCTACAGGATTAACAGGCGAATACTTGACCTAGACAGCTGAGCATGGTGCTAGAAACACCAGCAAGTAGGTTCGAAACCTGCAACTTGAATTGGTTCGGTAAATGCCGACATCTCGGGCTTGAAACCTCAAAGTCCCAGGCTCAAAACCTGCGATATCACCTTTTTACATATACCCGTCTTATGTATCAGATGGCTATGCTTCGTTTAATAGGAATCCCATACAGCAACCGGATTAACAAGAAACGAATACATGGCCTAGAAAGCTAAGCACGGTGCTAGAAGCACTAGAAAGTGGGTTCGAAACCTGCAGTTGATGTTGAAAACGCCAATTTCGCCAGGCTTGAAACCTACAGCAGTGCTAAAAACACCAAGATACAGGTTAGAAACCTGTGCATGTCGCCTTTTTCATGCATGCTCGTCATTAGTTTCCATTTGATAGATTCTGAGTGGACAAAACTCCCACACACCTATCGAAATAATAAGTGAACACTTAGCCTAGAAAGTTGAGTGGTGCTAGAAACATCAGCAAGTAGGTTTGAAACCTGTAATTGGCACTGAAAATGCTAGTTTTGCTAGGCTTGAATCCCGCAGCGGTGCTATAAACACTAAAGTTACACGCTCGAAACCTGTGGATATTGCCTTTTACATCCATTTGTCTTATATCCCGACGTCTCGCATAGGTCTATCTTGAATAAATATATTCAGAAGGTAATTATAAACAATTCATTCATCGCGAATTTGGCTATTTAACTCACAGGTATATCCACGAATTAAGATAACAAAACGCAAACATCAAGTCATTTTATCGTAACAGATACAGCTGTGGTGGGAGAAGCCATGGAATTTTCCTAATCCTATCAAAACAATAGTCCAGTACAACATTGCAGAAGGATAGATATTCTAAAATGTTCAAAATGTTCCACATATACCTTAACAGTACTGTCTATTTCAACTTTCCCTCTTTCTTCCACGTATCCATCCACTTATACGTTACACCAAAGTCTTTGATTCCCTTACCTGCAACCCCGTACGTGGTCTTCCCAACCCTCTGAATCGCCCTCGCTTCTTTCGGCACAAAGGTATTGTACCTTCTCCTCAAGCAGGATGGACCCGGACCCTCTCTGCCACCATTCCAGTAGCCATTGTAGAGAATTGCGACATTATTCCATTTATTCTCCAAGTCATCACGGAGGAAGCGAATCATCGCGTCTTTCTCGGCGGAGTACTTCTCAACGCGGCGGACCTTGGGCATGACTTCGCTTCCTTGAAGAGTTGGGAGCAAGTCTTGGGTGGGTATAGGACTGAGAAACAACCTCTTTCTCAACCGCCCAGAGTTAGAGTCGAGAAGTTTCCGCTTGTTTCCTTGGAAATTGACATCTTCGCCGTCAGGAACGGGGTGGGCGACGACCATGAAGGCACTCATGGAGTCGTGAGGATTACTTGCAACAATGATTGTGGTAGAGCCGGAGTATGTGACTTTCCTTTTCACAATGCTACTCTTGCGCTCGCTCGTGCTCGAGTTGAATCCATCATCCAAGACCGCCTTCTCTTTCACTTCGTTCTTTCCTAAATCGTTGACACAGTCTTCATGGTGGACTGGGACATATGCCATCCATCCCCCACTCTCGCAATGGTCGTGGAGCGGAGATGTTCCATCTTCGGATCAGGTTGTGGTTCGGCGTCGGTTGGTGCTTTGGATATAGAATTCGCAAAGGAATTTGGATGACCACCTGAGACGTGGGAAGTAGCGATAGGTAGCGAGAATGAAGGCGAGGAAGAGGAAGAAGTGGTGTTTAGCGAAGAGATAGTTATATCCTGGAGCGGAAGATTCATGATGATAGTGATACTGACAGTGATTTTGACGTGGGCGTATGTTAGGGAAACGTGAGGGGGAATGAAGGCTACTCTTATAGGTAAGAACAATTGGGTCAAACCATGGAGCTGGACCCTAGGGAAAAGGGTCGAAACCGCAGTAGGCGGAATTTCAAAGAGTGATAAGGAAAGGGTGTGAGATCGAGCTTCTAGGAAGACCAGCGAATAGCGCAACGTAATCCCGGACAGGCTCAAAGTACCAAGACGTAATTTCTATGTTCAACTCGTGCTCAGCATCAATCTTGGGGGAAGTAAGCTGGCCAGATATACGGCATAGAATGTACGGTAATTGACATACGAAACTTGATAGGAATCCATTCCGAGGCCTAGCAAGCCCGGGAGAAGTATGTGAAGAACAGTTCTCATGCATGTCGATGATCATGAATCATCACTCGCATACAAATTTCACCCCCCCCCCCTGGAGGTATCTGGTCTTCAGGACGAGCTTCTGGATATAAATGAACAACTTATTTTGTTTCGTTTGTACCAGAAGTAACCACATACATTTCCAGTATTATTGATATCTATTATCACGATCATAGCGATCACTGCGGGCGCACAATTCGAACTCAAATGTACACATGCACATTGATGGAAATGGAGTATTATAAGTGACAACCCCAGTTTGACGGCCTGCACCTCTCTCTGAAATCTAGCCATCTCTCCCCATCTGCTGTGCTGTGTGTACTCAGGCCTAGCTATTGTGAGTTCCTCACCAGAAAAGATGATGGCCCCTAAGGTCACCATGGCGGCGGTGTCTACTGCAACCCATGCGGCAATGTGTTCGTTTTCGGATTTAGCGCTTCATTCATTACGTAGACAAGCAAACAAGCATGAATAGACGCCAATATCACTCCCGTCCTCAGGTTAACAGTTCACATACCGTCCGCAAGCAAAACAACAAGCACAAAAGCTCCGACGCGGGCTTGAACCGTGAATCTTGTTATACGAGTGACACGCTTTTCCGCTGAGCCATCGGGGCTGCCCACAATTTGTGGCTGAAAACCGGATTTGCGGAATGATATCACGATAACGGTTTGAAGGAGTGGGCCGCGTGGGTAGATTTGCGGTTTCTGGGGCGACCGAAAAGAGTGAAGGAATTATTGCAATTTAGTATATGTATCACTGATGGTATCTGCGGTATGGATTTGAAAATAAGGCTGTGGCGGAGCACTGCTCCTTCCAACGTCGTGCGTGAATCATAGGTTCCTGCAGTAACTAACCCATTTTAATTAGTACAGTACCTTGAGAAGTAGTAATAGCAGTAGCAATGACCCCATGTTTAAATCTCAAAACTCCTAGAAGTTCGCATTCGTTACTACTGAGAATTGTTAGCAATGGCGATGTGGAAAGCACGATAACTGATTAATATACCGGCGGTGCTAGACTAATGCATGTTATTGACCGATCTGTGTAGGTATATACAATACGGCTTTCTGGTGGAATAAAGACTGAGGAGCTAAAGAAGTGTCGGACTTGAGTTTGGAGTGGAAACGCTTTTGCCGACATTAAGCCCTAACTGGAACATAACGACATGAATGTATTGCAGGTAACGTGTAACACGCCCTCCTTGCTAGCTCAACTGCTGTAAAGAATATATGGTGTACGAATAGAAGGTGAAAGAGAGGCAAAAAGTCAGTACTGCAGCTTCGAACCCGCACACAGTGTACTCTAGGTAGTGTTTCCAGTGCCTGAACCTGACGTTTTCAGCATCTTGAACCAAGTAATCAGCTCTGCCGGCTTCGCTAAAGGACCAGCTCTTATTTTCTCAAAAACCTTGCGAATCCTGGCTCAATCCAACCCTGTAAAGACTTTAGCTGGCATAAAAACCTATGTGAATCTATACTGTACCGTCAAGGATCACAGAAGCCCCATCCCAAGAGATTTATTGCGGCAGCTCACTCTTGAGTTCTCAATACCGAAAAAAACTTCACGTTCAAAATCTCACAATAACTGGTATGCGTGCCCGGTAGATACAGCAACTTGAACCATGGGAAAAAGAAACGAATGGTTGAGTACCGCAGGTTTCGAACCCACGCCTGGCGTTTGAAGCGCTAATTTTTCTAGCCGGGCTAAAAAACCAGCTCTTACTTCTCAGCAACCGATACTGCACCTTCATAGGCCTTTTCAGGTGTTCGGTGTAGTATCCGATAACACCGCAATAGTTTAGGCGCTTAATAAGATGGCGAAAATTACCGCGTATACAAGAGCTGATAGCTTGGCTTAACCAGTGCAATAAACACCATGTGCTGCAACACCGGGTTCGAAACCTCACGGCATTGTAAACGTCAGAACATAGGTTGAAAACCTGATGCGCTATAAACGCTAGACCGCGGGTTTTAAACCTTCAGTGTACACTCTTTGGCCCCTGATTTTTACTTTTACCCTTCGAAGTCCAGCATAGGTTTTGGAGAGTACAAGACGGTAGAAATCGGTTCATATATACAAAACCTGATAGCTTAACTCAGCCGGTGTTACAAACACCAGGTGCTGTAAACACCTCGGTTCGAAACCGTTTAGTTCAAGACGCTCTAAACGTCAGAACATTGCCCAGGCTCAAAACCTCAGACAGCGGGTTCGAAAACTGTCACATTTTGGCCCTGCTTTTACCTTCGAGATCCAGTTAAGCTTTATACAGGATGGTAAAATCATCACCAATATCAACAGATAGCAAAGCTTAACCGGTACAATAAACACCAAGTGCTCTAAACACTGGGGGTTCGAAACCTTCGATATGGCGCTCGAACCGTCAGCACACGGGCTCAAGCCTCATGGCTCAAATTCTCATGGCTCAAAACCTCCTGGCGCTACAAACTCCGGACCACAGGTTTCAAACCTGCAGTGCACACTCTTTTACCCTTCGAGATCCTGCTTAGGCCTTATTCAAGACAGTAGATATTGTGTTATTCACAAGACCTGATAGATTAGCTCAGCCGATGCTACAAACACCAGGTGTTCCAAACACCGGGGTTCGAAACCTCCGAACTATGGCGCTAGAACATTTACCATACAGGCTCAAACCTCATGGCGCTACAAACGTTGGACCACAGGTTCCAAACCTGTCACTTTTTGGACATAATCTGCTCCTGGCTCGCTGAATTCCGAAACCTTCAACATCTAGCTGGCCCTGGAATTATTAATGGTCATGAATTGGTACAACCACTTTACCCTAAAAAGGAGCAGACGTGCCCAATATAACCTATAACTCGAATTGTTCACAAAACAAAAGAAAAGAAAAAGGGAGGTTGAGCACCATAGGTTTCGAACCTACACATGGTGTTTGTAGCACCTGGAGTTTAAAGCCCCATATTCCACCGGTTAAACTTGTGGTCGGTTGTTTTTTCCATCGGTTGGCGGCATCTTACTCACACGACAGATTAAAGCGCGCGGGAAACTCCATCATGAACTGGAGTACTTAAATTGTGAATGCTGGAAACTCCGTTGTATATTGTACATGTATTAATCCTTGGTTTCGTAGGTATTCCAACAAGGAACAGGCGTCTCCATAAATCTATAACCCAAGCTGCCACACAAGACAAGAGAAAAAATCGGCAGGTTTCAAACCCGCACTGAATGTTTAGAGCACTCGGTGTTTGCAGCACCTGGCGTTTAATGCACCGTGTTCTACTACTAGCTAAGCTAAGCGGTCAACTGTTGTTATTCGAGGGTCTCGCAGGATTCTGGCTCATTGAATTCCAAGACTCTACAAGCACCGGGATATCAGTAAATTGTTATGAATATTCTACACAAGAAGGAGCAGATGTCACAGCCAAATCCTCTACACAAAAAAAGAAGAGATCTCGGAAAAGAATAGCAGGTTTCGAACCCATATCCAGTGTTTGTAGCACTCGGTGTTTGTAGCACTTGCAGCCGGTATTTGATGTACCATGTTCTACCGGCTAAGCTAAGCCTTTCAGTTGTTGCTCTTTGGATAGTTCAGGTTACCTTAGCTGGTTCATTTTATCCTCTCGTTCCTCGAGCATAAGCCTTTCCTTTTCCCTTTCGCAATTCCTGGGTTTCATGGAGCTGGTGCAAATCTTACTCCTTTACATGGACCTTGGATTATCCGTCGATAACATCCATCCCATTCCTTCTAGGCTTGGTAAGACAGATAAATATCGATAGATATCGAAGAATTGTCAAAGACGAGGTTAGACAATTCAATAACTACACCATCATCATTCCCTCATACCATCCAATCTGTTGAGCTAATATTGCCGCTAATATCATAAACACTCCTACCGCAAAAGCTTCACCGCCTTCCGTTATGGTGTAGTGGCTAGCATCGGCCGCTCTCATCACAAGAGCATTGAACCGGCCAGACCGGGGTTCGATTCCCCGTGACGGAATACCCTTTTGTTTTATGCCGAGCTCAGGTGGTCTCTAGGCTCCGCTATCTTAATTTTGTTTCCCCATCTTCATCTTTACTGGGTACCTGCATCCGTTTCCATCAATGAAGCTCATAAATAGTACTATTCGCCTTCTGAGCGTTCAAATCTCCATATACCGATGTGTTCCGTAATCTAAAACTACCAACTCAACCCACAGCTTCCAAGTTCCAACACCAGGCTGTGATATACATAAGGGTCATAACTAAGGGTTGTCTTCCACCTTAGGGTTCAGCCAACATGCGTGGGCATCACAGCAACATTGGAAGAGTTCAAAAGGCACAGTACATACATTGTTGACGAACAATCATTGTGATAGCTCCTGTTTAAAATACCTTTGCCACATCGATATCCAGAAAAAAGGATCCTCAACAAGAATTCAGTACCTTACATCCAAACAGATCCCATAGAAGCCAGCCTACAACACCATACGTACGAACTACGTTAGATCATATAGCTCTGGTAGCTTCAAGACATGTCATAGTGAGTTACTCGGAACTTGTCGACGTCCACCAACCCTTCCTGTTCGGCTACTACCCGCAGAAACTCGGGGTGCCATATCTCACCATCATTTCACCCGCTACTGCTAATACCTCAACTCATTTCTGTCTCGAGCTCACATCACATTTTGCAGATCACATTATATCACCATGCATCATCTTATTCGACATCCACATGCTACTATAGTTATAGACCATTATCGTCTCATACATATATCCTATCCCCAAACATCCACAACACCACATTTTTATACCCTCTCTCCTCCGCCTAATGTCAGAAAGAGAAAATCAAAGGGGGAATCAAAAGCCAGCAAGAATGCACCACAAATATGCCCAATAAGAAAGTCCTCAAACCCAACAAAGAAAGAAAGGGAAGGAAAACTCCAAAAAAGGAGTTCTCCTCCGCATAAAAAAAAACGCCCAGTTCGCGCTCACACCCCGAATGCCAACTCCCACCCTTCCCACCCAGCCATTATGCCCCGCTCAGTTACATGTCGGAATTATCAGTCCCTTCTTCAGATTTCGATTGACGTCGAGAAGTCCCCACTTATCCTCCCATTCCTTCCCCTTTGCTGGTTCGTTGAATCTGATCTTCCATGGTTCGTCGAAACCCGAGAACCTACATACACAATTAGCCTCTATTCCCCTCATATAGACGGTGATAGTGGTCGCTTACCAAAAATACTCTGTGCTCCTCCCATTCTCCCTGCATATAAAGTCTGCCATAAACCTATTCATTTCGGAGATTCCTGCAACACTCCCTCCATCCGTTCCTCCTCCGGATGGCCAGCCAACCTCACTGATCATCACCCTCGGCTTCGGACTCAGCCCGTCGGTTAACACGACATCATTCTTCTGGAAGAAATCCCACGTCCAGTTCGCGGCCTTTTCCACCACCACACCTGCAAAAAAAGGGTGTACGTTTGCCATGAGCACGTCGACCTTACTCGCCATGTTTGTATTCCAGTTCGATCCCAGGTCTGATGTGCCGACAGGGATATTGTAGCCCAGATTTGTAAGGTTTGTTTTCACATCCGAGATGATTTGGAACAGCTGGGTTTCGGTGAGTGTTTGCGCGAACAGGACTTCGTTGC